ATAAACGTTGTGATGTCGGGACGACATCTAATTTGGTAGGGGAGTGTGTAGTAGGTTGGTTTTAAACACAGGATAAATTCAATTGGCAATATAAAATTAAGTAGGGAATAAATACATTAAAAAGTGTAAAAGTTAATAATAATAATATTATTGGAAAGTATAATTGTATGAATAAATGATGTGTGATCTGCTAGTTCAGTCTGAGATAATGATTGATTAGTCTTGTCTGCGTTGCCGGAAGGGGAGGGGCTCTCGGCCACGATACTTCATTCTAAATGAAGCTACTCAACATTGAACATCGTGTCCGAGTCGTTTTATTCATTGCCCCCTCTTTTCAGGTACAATATGTCATTTTATGTTATTTGTTAATGGAGAAATACATTGGTTGAATGGTCTGTTAAAGTTTGTTTATAGGTTAATGCAGGAACTGTAATGTTATGAACCTTTTCTTTGAATGGTGACAATTCTAATGATTCTGTTGGTTCAGCTCCGTACTCGCAGTGGGCGGGACAAAATGGAGGCTAGCACATCACTCAGCTTCTGCAAGTGGTTGTTAATGTGTTTGTGTATGGTTGGAATGAGTGAAAGTTATAAAAAAGTTATGGATATACATTATTGTCATCACATGTAAAATACATTTGTATTTATAACATTTTGTTGCTGGTATATATGTACAATACTGTTTATATATATTGTTTGTTATTCTATTCTAAATGAAGCTACTCAACATTGAACATCGTGTCCGAGTCGTTTTATTCATTGCCCCCTCTTTTCAGGGTGTAACATAAGCGCACTTTTATTTACATCACAGTGTTTAGTAGTTTTCGGTTCGTCTGTCTGTCGGTTTTATTTATGTAATAAAACTCTGCGAACATTATCCCGGGCTCTGCATCTCGCTCCTTCCCACTATACCCAGAGGATACCGTTACAGAATAACCAGCCGAAAATATGAGGAAACAGAGCCGGACTGTGAGTGTATTCCTCGGGGGGCAAGCTATAGCGCCCCGAAGAATGAAGCTTACCGTCGCCCCACGGAGCAGTGGGACTGGCTTAAGCCGGAGACGCCCCAAGAGGAGTATAGGCGTCTCCGCGCTTATTTCGGATATGAGCCACCAATGCGGCTATCAGGGCTGATACATCGGGTCCGCGGTCCTTCCATGAAGATGGCAAGAAGGCCTCCCGGAAGCTTCCCAAAATAGTTTTTGGGAGGGAGCTAACGGGGCGTTCACGGAGGACCGCGGGGAGAACACCCACGGCTCTGGTGCCGCAGCAACAGCTCCAGGGCTGCAGACAGGGGGAGACAAAACCCTGGGGCTACAGCCAAACATCCAGCCACCAAAGCCCAGGACCAAGACACCTCAGTGTGAGTGCCCGGTTGAGTGGTCCCCCCCCCCCTCAGCATGAGGCCTTGGAGTCGTCCCTTCGGGTTGACTTCGGGTTCTCTCCTTTTGCTCCCTTTTTCTTTTAGGCTATCTGGGAGTTAGCCTTTTAGTGGGGGATACTGTCACGTATTGGGTGAGCTGTGCTGTACATCGGGTGGTTAGGGAGAGCACTTATTATTGTTGTAATAAGGAGCACAGCTGTTTTGGGTTTAGTTAAGCACCGGGCATAGGTTAGTAAATCAGTGGGCTATTAAAGGTCTCTGATTAGTTTCACTGGTGTTGGTTATTGATTTAATGTTACGTGTCCATGTAGGTGAGTGGTTGTACTGTTTGTTGTATGCGCACTGTGTTATTGTTATTATTTAAGTTGTGTAAGCGCACTTTTATTTACGTCACAGTGTTTAGTAGGTTTCAGTTCGTCGGTTTTATTTATGTAATAAAACTCTGCGAACGTTATCCCTGGCTCTGCATCTCGCTCCTTCCCTCTACACCCAGAGGATACCGTTACAGGAACTATCAGCTCTGATATGATAGACACTGGTGGACATTCTGAACTATAACTGGACCTTGGTCTTATTTTCACAACAGTATATACAATTACATATTGCTCGACATACTGCTCCTTGCACATTTTGAAATCCGCTCCAACATCTAGACATAGCTCCTTTGCACTACTCAGATATATGACACACTATATGTATCCATTACTTAAGCTAGACAGGGTCTCCTGTCAAACTGTTTGTGTTGTGTGTTTTTTGCTCTATTTGCACTGTTCATGTACGTGTGTCCTAAATGTGTCCTAAATGCTGCAGCTATGGGTCAGAACAAATCCCTTGTATGTGTAAACAAACTTGGCAATAAACCTCATTGTGATTTTGATGAAGTTTCACCCCCGCACTTCGTCATGCTGACATTGAGAGACAGCTTTTCAGTTTGACAAGAAATGTTGTGCCACGATATCTCGTCACACACCTTGTTTTCAGGAGACACTTAAAAGTGTGCTCTCTGCTTCTCTAACCCATATCGGCAGATCATTCCATAGTAGTTGAGTTCTATGGGAGAAAGCTCTGCCACTGACTGTGATATATTGTAATTTAAAGATGTGAATCCCTTCATTCAATAGCTTGTGGCACCTCCATTAGCAGTGATATCCTGAGGAAAACATCTCATCTAATCAGTCTCTGACATTCTTTTCAGCGATTATTACCCACTTCTTTATAAAGAGCTTAGGGTTAGGGTTTGACGGGTGTCTGGCCTGCATCAGGTCCAGCCACAGCATCTCATTTGGATTAAGGTCTGGATTGACTTGGCTAATCTATAACACATCTTTATTCTCCTGAGCAGTTCTGTGGCAGATTTACTTGAAAGGTTTTGGTTGTTTTACAGCCCAGTTTTAATTCCTAGACTGATTTTCAGAATTTACAAGAAATTATTATTCCAGAGACCAGCAATTTCAATCCAGTGTTTGTCTTATTGTTGACATGTGCAGAGCCGATCCGCCCTATACGCTCACTATGCAAACTGCGTAGGGCCCCGCAAATTACTTGAGGCCCGCCTCCCCCTTGTGTTTACAACATCCATGACAAAATAAAGCGAAACAATCCTTCTGGTCACGAAAAAAGGAAAAAAACACACCATGAGAGTGAATTGCGGGAACAACAATCAGGTAAACGTGTGTTCTCTCCTCTCCAAGTTTGATGTAAGCAAAGTAATGTTATGTTTATGTGCATTTCTATTGTGTTTTTTTTCGGTCTTGCTAACCTAGCTGGGGTGAAGTAAGCTTTATTCAAGATTCAGACTTTTACCGTCAATACCTCATGATCCACAACTTCAAGAAATAAACTAATTAAATATTCTGAATCTGCTGTCGATAGAGAACAAGCAACATAACTTGTTTTCCTATATCGGTTTCATATGCATCGTATTTAGTCGAATATAACGCAAATGTGTGTTTACTAGAGCGAATGTGTGTTTACTACGGCTTGAGGGTTAAGGCACCATCTTAAAAGTGCGCCCAATGTTCATTTTTATGAAAAACGGCAGTAGCTTCAAATTGTTTTGACCAAAACCAACTGTAGTATCATCAGGAAAGACTGCCTCAAGATTCTTTAGTTTAGCAAATTTTTTAATTACACTTTCTAATCATTGTTAAATACAATTTCTATCATATTTTTGCTTAATAGCTCAGAGCTATTAAAACTTTGACTATAAACAAATGTTGTATGTTAATGAATTGCTTCAAATCATTTTTTAAAAATCATCTCTAAACCCACTTTTTAGCACATTTTTCTCAATAGCTTTGCCCCCTTGAATTTGTTTTGAATAAAAACACATTTTGCATGTTCATGTTGAGCTGCTCTATCATCAACATTTTTTTGAATTTTCAAATATGGATTTGATTAACTTGAAATAATCTCTAAACACACTTTTTACCTAACTTTGCTCAATAGAGTTGCCCCCTTGAATTTGTTTTGAATTAAAACAACTTTACTGTCTTCATGAAGTGCGGCTCTATCATCAACATTCTTTCAAATTTTTTAATTTCGAATATCATTTTTTTAAATAATATCTAAATAAATTTTAGCACATTTTGCTCAATAGCTTTGCCCCCTTGAAACTTTTTTTTTAATCAAAACAACTTTACTAACTTCAGGAAGTGCTGCTCTATCATCAACATTCTTTAGATTTTCAAAATATTAATTGGATTTTTTAAAACAATTCTAACCCCACTTTTTAGCATCTTTTGCTCAATATCTTTCCCCCTTGAATTTGTTTTGAATTAAAACAACATTAATGTCTTCAGAAAGTGCTGCTCTATCATCAACATCCCCCCCAAAAAAAAAAAAAATCTTTAAACCCACATTTTCAGCACATTATGCTCAATAGCTTTGCCCCCTTGAAACTTTTTTGAATCAAAACAACTTTACTGTCTTCATGATGTGCTGCTCTATCTTCAATATTCTTTTGAATTTTAAAATATGAATTTGATTTATTTGAAATCAACTCTAAACCCATTTTTTTACCATATTTTGTAACATGTAACGAGTAGTGTAAATGACTGCTTAACTAACTATGTGATATTCTTCTCAATTTCTTCTAGACAGTCCAAATAGTCTGGTGGTGCCCATACTGATGCTAAAAATGCCCAGGCTGTAGAGAACCAAAGTTAATCCCAAAAGCCAAAATTCAGGGTTGTAATTTATTATTTTCTTCTTATTTATGTTTATGTTAATATTCACTTGTTATCTTAATATTAGAGAAAATACTCTATTCAATAAATATTGTTGGTTGAACCTCATTCTGTTTTATATTGTTGTACACATCTTTTTGACTGTTTTGTTTAAAGGAGGAAGGATTGTATTGGAAGCACTAATGTGTCAGGTGTGACTGTGTGGCAATGGCAAATGGTTTACATAGCTCCCGGCATCACGGGTCAGAGGGTAGAGGGCCCCGTAGCAGAATTTTGCTTAGGGCCCCAGGGAGGTCAGGATCGGCACTGTACGTATGTACAGTAACCTGAAAGAGACCCAGGACCAGGTTTTTGCCCTAGCACTCACATATCTGATTCAAATGTTGCTCTATCACTTAAACACTTGATTTACATAATCACTTTATTAAGGAGAAGTTGGTAGCTAAGTGGTAGAGTGCATGCTTTGTCTGTATGATGTTCTGGGTTCAATCCCCAGCTTCTTCCCCAGGTCGCCATTGCAAATGAGAAATCGGCCTACTTGGTTAAATAAAAAAATTATAATATAACAGTTCATTGAAATCAGGTTTGGGGTCCCCAGGACCACGATTGAGATACACTGCCTAAACCTGTAAGGGTAACACCAAACTGACCAGGATTATTGCCTTCTTCTTTCATTGAGAGTTTTGTTTTTCTACTACATCATATAGAATTGGTTACTCAACTTGTTATTTCAAATGGAAAAGTCTGATTAAATAAAGATATCATGGTGTATGCACACAGCATTTATATATGGGTCAATGACGTGACGCCTACATCTTCTTCCCAACTGCATATTACCAACTACTATATATTTTTAAATGCATGAAAAGATATCATACATACTACCTCTCCAATATATGTTTTCATTTTAACTTTTCAAAAAACATTTGTTTATTTGTAATTATTCTGTCATTTAAACTGTCAAAATATAATGTGGTGTGACCGTCCATCAGTGACTGTTGTTTTTTTTTTTAAACTTGAATTTACAAATAAATCTATTAAAATGTTTTTCTGTCCAATTTGGCAAAATTTCCAAAGTGTTTTGTTGTCCTGTACAAAATTGAAAAGCATTTGTATTCATATTTCCATCATAATATACAAACAAACTCTGTCTGAAAATGTCAATTTTAAGAAATAATTAATAATTTGGTGCGACCTTTCCAAGAAATGACCACTTTGGGATTTCTCTGTTGAATCAAAGAGAGGAAGAGTAACTCTCTATCACATTTGGAAAACCTTTTTTAAGGGCTGTAGTTGCCACATTTGGATATTATGACCTAAAAAAATAGTATGACCTAAAAAAACAATAAATATGAATGAATCTTTCTTCAAGTTATTTGTTTTGGTCTGACATTTCATTGTGACCTTTTGTTTTATTTCTGTAGCAAATTCTGTGCCTGTAATTTTCTGTTTATTTTATTTAACCTTTATTTATCCAGCTAGGCCGACGACCTAACAATCAATATGACTATCAACTGAACTTGAAAATCTGACCAAAATATCATGTGGTGCGACCATTGCAAAGTGTTTTCCATGAGGTATGTCCTAGATTGTCAGTTTCTGTGCTTTTATATTCAATTGATGAAATATATACATAAAGTACTTTATTTTATTATTATTTTGTTAAATATTTGTACAATATATATACATGAGAAAAATACAAACATTTTGTTTTGCTTAGGTAGGCAGTTACTATGCATTCATTATTTATTGCTGATCTTTTCTACCAACTGCTCAGCAAAGTTAAAAAAAAATATTATCTATATTACATTTCTGTTTTTGCTAGCAGAGAAGAAAATAAATTCATGTGGCCACAAACTCCAGATGTGAATTTCCGCTTTTCATCTCAGAAACTGAGTCAGAAACATCACGCTACCTTAAGTTGAGCAATGTTCAAAAATAGCTGGGGTTAAAGAAAAGCCTGCAGTAACCACCATGTACCCCACTTTCATGTAAACATTAAGAATGATGATTGTCAAGTGCAACACGCAACATGATGATTGTCAAGTAAAATGTTTTTTTTTGTTAAAAAAATCCATGAATGTGTGCTGGACTTATAAATGTTTGTGATGAAGATGTTTTGTGAAATGTTGGTGTGTGCAATTTTAATAAAATTTCATCAGATAAAATTCAACTTTGTCATTGGACAGTACTGATTGACACAATGGTGCCTGAGAGACATCATATTCTCCTGTTGGACAACAAAGACTTGGTTTCTTACACACTGAGCTTTACACATCGTCTGGATCGATTTGAAACAGCTGCAGTGTTTTCTCTATAGTTGTCAGTGCAGCTAGGAACAGTCACTTGATACATAACTAGATTGAACTTTTCATCCCAGCGATGAGTCCTCGCTTCAGCTTGCTTTCATAATACTCTGACACATAATCTAATGGTGTTGCAAGCCATTCTTTAAACTCAACTTTTAATTTTTAGCAATTGTTTTTATAAGCAAATAAATTACTGACTGTGTCACGTACTCCAAAGCTTTAGTGCAGGGAAAGCCAAACGCAGAGCGTAAAACAACGTTGTGGTTCTTTTAATAAAAGACTAGATTAACGGCAAAATATATACACTGTAATGAAAATTAAGTTGAGCATATAAAGCGACTTACTACAACATCAAATACAGCGACATTAAACACTCACCTGCAAAATGATAGGTTGAAATAATGCTAAGCACTGTGAACAACAGGGGCGATTTTAGGGTCAGAGCTTTAGGGGTGCTGAGCACCCAATGAGCCCCACTGCCACCACCCACCCACTTTTCACACAAAAACAAAAATGTCTATTGAAAAATAACATAATCATTTTAAAGGGGCTAGCCTCGCCCTTCTTGAACAACTACTAGAAAACCTATAAAGCCCAACTAATCACCCTGCTAATGCTAAACACTAACAGTGACTTAGTGTGATCCAGCAGTGTAAACCACTGCCTATGCGCATGTACTGCTGCGGCATGGGATTGAATCCGGCCCTTTTTGAGCAAAATAATTTTTACCAGCTTCACTATCCAATTACCAAAAACATGCTTAAGAAATTATGGCCAGGTACTAAAATATAAATAGCGTTATTTTCAACATGCTGTATGTTTGTGACTTCATGTAGTCATATAGCCTGGCCAGAGGAGGAAGTGGAATTTGTTTAATTGCTTTATTGGAAGACAGTCTTTAAAGTACACGCTGAGACAGGGAGACAAGTTAATGTTCTGGTTGCATACGGACCATTAGGAAATTGCATGCAAGCTTTCCCAATCTGACTCTTAGGGCTTGCTAATTCACCAGTAGTCATTTACCGTATGGCAGGAGAGGCACAAAGCCACTTTGGTAATCACCATGCCATAGAAATGAGTCTCTCCCACACTTTATTTTTCTGTTGCGCACACACACAAGCTGACTTTATGAATGCAGATACACACATGTGAAGTCGGTAGAGCATGGTGCGTGAAAAGTGTCAAAGTTTGACAATTTCAATCTGACTTGTGCCACACATATAAAAAAGGCATACAAAACTAAGTAACATAGAACAAAAGCCTCTGCTATTAAATATTTAATTGTATATCTCTCCTCTGATAGTAAGGGTATAGAATATGTTTTAGGTATGATCACAGTTGCTGTGTGCTAATTTGGAAGACATACACCTTTTAAGTCTAACTTTGTGTTACTTGATGTTACCTGGATGTAAATACATGTTCTATTTGACTAAAAGTTTGCCTTGATTAACCTTTGCTTGTCACAGTGCTTGATCATTTAGATGGATTTAATTTGTTGCAGTTCATTTCACACTTTGACATTCAAATTTTACTTACCAGAAATCCTATTCAATTCGATGTAAAAATCTAAGTATACACAGTCTGACCTTTTTGTATTGAACAGTCGATTAACCTTTACGATATTTTTAGGTTTTCTGTTTGCTTCATTACTCCATTAAATTCCCATAAACTGAATAATGTTTCATTAGGTGTATCAAGATATCCTGAACAAGTAAACATTTGACAAAATGCGGTCATGTAAAATCAACAAGGAAAACTCTGGGTATTACTTCAGGACGACAGGGCCAAAAAGTATTGATAACATAGGTATAAGGTTTATAATAAATTTTTCTTGGTCAGGCCATTACGAAAAGGAAATAAATAAAAAATAAAATGTTATAAATAAAATAAATAATAGGGTTTTTAAAGCATGGGTTTTGAATCCAACCTAAAAAAATTATATCATTCCCAGTTTCTACTGTTGTGGTTGTGGTTGTAATTAAAGAAGTAAACTGTGGTAAACACAATTGGTAACACGGGGAGAAACACTGGCAAAAACAGGGGGAGACAAGCAAAAACACAGGTAAAAACACAGGGAAACACAGGCGGAAACAGGGGGGAACACAGAGTTACAAACCGTAATGCAACCTTGGTGAATGCCCCCTTTCTGAGGCCTTTAGTAGATGTGCATTTATTATTTTATAAGAATGTTAAAGGAAGAAGATAATGTCCTCTACATGGAACATATGTATCACTTCTCAGCCCACACATTCATGTACAGATAATGGAGATAAAACGACAAATGTACAGACAAATTCAATAACAGGACACATTTAGTTTTCCATTTAATATCAGATTTCCTGCTGCATTAAAATACTCAACAATGCTATCCTCAACCCTGATTCAAGCACAGTTATCCTCTATTCAGAGGGGTTCCCATCTGTCTCATTAGTCTTCCTGTGAGGAGCTCATTAGGAGAGAGACATGTTGAGATATGAGCCCTACCTCTTATGTACATTAGAACCACAGACAGGGCCGTAGCCCATGATAGTGTCTTTTCCCTCTACCATCATTTTACTCAGTTAACTTTTCGCTGCCTGGTTTGTGCTCCACAGCGCCCCCAGTAGCCACATGGTGAGTACATTGTTTTTGCAACACGATTTGGAGACAGTCTAACTGGGTCCGATTTACATAATTTACAAAATGAGAACTATTATCGCTGCTCAACTTATTTGGTATTACTTAGGATTACAATTCTCATCAAGGATTCTGCAACAGCTGCAGCCGGCATTTGCCTGAAGGGAGAACACTCAATCAACTTGGAGAGCTTGTCTGCTTTCACTAGACACCATTTGTATCCCTGGCAAAGAGTCAATTCGATGAAAACCATCATAAGATTGTCGATTGGCATCTCTGGAGATGGGTGAGAGGACTGTTTCATTTTCTCATCTCTGCCAACATTGTGTTGTGCCCAAATGACACAAACGTATTCACATACAGGTGCTGGTCATATAATTAGAATATTATCAAAAAGTTGTTTTATTTCAGTAAATCCATTCAAAAAGTGAAACTTGTATAATGTATACATTCATTCCACACAGACTGATATATTTCAAGTGTTCATTCCTTTTAATTTCGATGATTATAACTGACAACTAATGAAAACCACAAAATCAGTATCTTAGAAAATTTGAATATTGTGAAAAGGTTCAATAT